ATTTGAATAATTTGACTTTAGTTCTTAAGTTTTCATTTGTGTTATGTTTGGATGAATTAAGTAGGTACAAATTTTGTCAAATTGGATATACAAAATTTTAAACGAAAATTTTCAGATTTGGTTAGATTAGCGATCGAATTTTTGGTCGCTACAAATTTATTATAATATACAATTCAAATTTAGCGACCGATTTAGCGACCAATTTAAATTATTATTTAAATAATTCAATTAATATATTAGCGTACGATTATATCCGTCGCTATTATTTTTAACTTTGTCTCCATTTTAACAACCGATTTAGCGACTGATTTTAATTATTATTTAAATAATTATATTAATATATTAGCAATCGAATATATCGGTTCGCTATTTTTTAAAACTTTACCACTGGATTTAACGATCGATTTAGCGATCAGATTTATTATATTATTTTCGGTCACTATTTTGGTCTTCAATGCATAAGTGACCAAATTATTTAGCGACCACCTCATCGGTCGCTATTTAGCGACTGAAATGTAATCAGTCGCTAACAAATTAGCGACTTGCCCTTTTGCGACCAACCATTTCGGTCGCTAATTTCGGTCACTAACAGAATAACGACCGATTTTTGCCCATTAGCGACCGATTTTGTCGGTCGCTAATAGCGTTTTTTCTTGTAGTGGAAGCTATGAATTTTTCTTCTTCTTCTTCGTGTTTCCCTTTTGTTTCAGTTTAAGTTTCAAGTTTTACTGAGAAAGAAATAGTGTTTCAAATTTCAATCTTTCTTGTATTGGGTTCTTTGTTCTCTTTGAATCTTTTGTTTTTGTTTTTATTTAATTTTATGGGTTTTGTTTTCATTTTCTTTTCATGATGGATATGGATGAGTTTGGAATTAGGGGTGGTGGTTGGGGAGTTCCCAACATAGAGGATCTTAGGCAACTGGTGAATGTTTTCACAGGTGTGACTGTTATTATTTTATTGTCTTTATCTTCTGGGGATTTAAGGAAAGTTGATGTTAAATCCCCTGTTTAGGGTTTGAGTGATTACTGTTTAATCCCCTTTTAGGGTTTAGAGCAGTGTGTTAAAGAGACTCATAACTATCTCTGTTTCATCCCTAGTGTGATTTTAAGGAGATGTTCATCCTTTATGTGTTGGTGGAAAATGAGTTGTTTTTCATCTTTTGATTTGTTCAAACGAGGTGTTCATCCCTAATGAGATTCTAGGGAGGTGTTCATCCTTAGTGGAATTCTAATGAGGTGATTATCTTTTGAATTAGTTTGCAAATATTAAATATTTGGTTTTGTTATATAAATAAAATATTCAATTTTTTGGTAGTTTAATATTTTTTGTGAGCAAATTGAGTCAAGAAGTCACCAAAGTAACCTCTCTTGAATTGGGCAGTTCATTAAAAATATTGAATGTTAGTGTTTGTGTATATTCATGCGAGTATTAGTCGGCTCAAAGGAAGATTAATATTTGGTCGAATTGCATACACACTTGTAATGATAAACATGTGATAATTATAAGGATTTGCTTTGTCGATGATAAATCAATCAAAAGACTGATTTGTTGTTGAACATGTTTTATTGTCAATGTTTGATTATTATAATAAGATACCTCTAGCAGTTTATATTACTATCCAAAGACTTGATATTGATGGTGCATTGTGTGTCTTGAGATGGGTTAAACCATTATTTGAATATATATTTATTAATTATTTATTTTTTATATAATGTGAGCATAATTAGTTTATTTCTCGTGTTCTAAATTCAACTATAATTGCTTATGTATCTACTAATTTAAATTTTGTTCCAATCTTCAAAAGTATGTTTCCTACTTTGGTCTGCTCTGAAGTCAATTTAGCGTCAGTAGCTAGTAACACTTGATGGTTAGACTTAGGTGCAACTACTAACATCGGTATTTCTATGAAGGGTTGTCTAAGCTACCGGAAGCCAATTGATTCTTAAAAAAAAATGGATATATGTTGGAAATGACAAATCGGTAGAGGTGGAAGCTATAGGGAATTTTAAATTGTTATTGAGTACTGGTTTTTATTTAGATTTGAAAGACATTTTTGTTGTGCCGTCATTTAGACGGAATTTGGTTTCAATTTCTTATTTGGACAAATTAGGTTATTTGTGTTCATTTGGAAACAATAAGTTTAATTTGTCTTTTAATTCATATATTGTTGGAACTGATTCACTTTTGGCTTATGATAATCAATATGTACTTGATATTGTGACCACCTATAATGAAACCCTTAATACAGAATCACGTGGTACTAAACGTAAAATTGAAAATACTCACTCAGGTGCATTATGGCACAAGTGCTCAGGTCACAATCGAATCGTGGCGTTTGAGCTTGTGTTACACTCTTAAAGATATGATAAGGAGTATGATTTGTCATTCCACCTTACCGGAATCACTATGGGGAGAGACATTAAAAATGACAACTTATATTCTAAACAGAGTACCAACTAAAGCAGCTATCAAAACATCTTATGAGCTTTGGACTGGGCAACAACCTAGCCTAAAACATTTTCATGTGTGGGGTTGTCTAGTTGAGGCAAGGCCTTATAAGCCAAATGAAAAGAAATTGGACTCCCGAACAGTAAGTAGTTATTTTATTCATTATGTTGAAAGATCCAATGGATATAAATTTTATGATCCCACATTAAAGATAATTTTTGAGATGGGAACTGCTACGTTCTTTAAGAATATTGAGTTTAGGGGAAAAAATAAGATTAAAAACTTTATCTTAGAGGAAGAATCGGTAACAATTTCAGAATTGATTCAAATAGTTATTTTTGATAAAGTAAGTTTGGAACCTTCACAAGACATTGTTAATGAACCCCTTACTCAAGATGATTTGGTTGTTCATGAAGAACAAACTCGAGATCCTCAAGAACTTGTGCATCATGAGCTAATAACTTTGCGGAGATCCACTAGAGAAAGAACAAGTGTTATTTCAGATGATTACATGGTATTTCTTCAAGAACATGAGGAAAACAATGATATAATGGAAGATGATTCAATTAACTTCCGTCAAGTTATGCAAGGTTCTAACTCTCAAAAGTGGATTGAAGTAATGAAGGATGAATATAAGTCCATGCAAGACAATAAGGTTTGGGAACTTGTCCCATTACTAGAAGGTATGAAACTCATTGGTTGCAAGTGGATATTTAAGACCAAACGATATTCTAAAGGTAATGTGGAAAGGTATAAGGCTCGTCTGGTAGCTAAGGGTTATATCCAAAAGGAAGGGATTGACTTTAAAGTCTCTTTCTCTCTAGTTTCATCGAAAGACTCTTTTAGGACAATAATGACTCTGGTAGCACATTATGATTTGAAGCTTCATCAAATCGATGTTAAGACGGAGTTTCTCAATGGCAACATTGATGAGATGATTTATATGGTACAACCAGAAAATTTTGTGCAGGGAGATTCAAAGAATATGGTATGCAAACTGACAAAATCCATTTATGGACTAAAATAAACATCTCGTCAATGGTACTGCAAATTTCATCAAGTAATTATCTCATTTGGCTTCGAAATAAATATTGTTGATGATTGTGTGTATCACAAGTTTAAAGGGGGACAAGTTTAGTCTCAATCAGTGCCCAAAGGGGAATTTGGAAATTGAGAAAATGCAAAAGATTCTATATGCATCAGTTGTAGGGAGTTTGCTCATATTTTAAGATTTTGGGAACAATTTGTTTCAGGTCCTATAAGATAATATATTTTTGATATGGTGTATAAATAATCATATTTCAATTAATTAGTCACGCTATATCATAAAACATATGAGAAAATATAAAACTAATTGTATCTCTTTATCTTATGACTTTTTAATCACTCATATTTTAGGGTTGTATATTACTTTATAGCCAACTTTATCTCTAGATTGGACAAATATGTTTAATGAAAAAACTCTGAAGATGTCAAGGTTAAATAAGAATAAACATCCTTTAAAGAAAAAATATATATCTTCATCAATAATTTGATACTATAAATTTAATATGGGAAGATATTTAATACATGTAATAACACATGAATAAACTAAAAGTTAATATTTAAAATAATTATTAGAATATTTACCGAATGATTAATTATATGCGTCATAAGATTAATTAGGTTAAAAGACACATTTGACTATAAGAGTATTGAGTAAACATTTCATTAATACGATTTGTGTTATTTTTATGTTTGTCTTTTTATTTAAGTATTTTTGTGTATATTTTTTATTTTATTTTGGATGATTATATATTTTTATGATTGTAGTTTTATTTAATATAATTGTGTATTTTTATTGAATGATTATAATTTTATTTTGACAATTGTACTTTTTTTTAAGTTTTTATATTTTTATTTTAATGTTATTTAAATATTGAATGTTTTTTAAAATATTTTTTTATAATTTTAGAACTATTTATAATGTTAATTGTCTACTTTACTTAAAATTATCCATATGGATATACTTCTTTAAGTTATATAGATAAAATATTATTTAATCTATCAGTTGGAATTTTTTAATCTAATCTAATTATTTGTTGTAATTAAGAAGTTACTCTGATCCTTTTTTTTTTTATATTTTATTATTATCTATCTTACTTGATCTCAAGTCAAGTCCACAGTTTTAATTCCATCCTAAAAGACATATTTCACTATTTATCTGAAATAAATATATTATTATTATTATTATCTTTAAAGTTTAATTTTCATTAAAATAATAAAAATATAAATTTGTATTTCATTTGTCTCACATATAATATATATTTGTTCTCATTTACCCGATTGCGCGTTTCCGCTGGCCAGCTGTGTCATTTATCACTCTTCTCTCTCTTTCTTCCTCTCTTCGACGAAACCCTAATCTCCCCCTTACCCTCTTTTCTTCAACATCATACATAAACCCCAAATCGTTCCGAATCAACCTTCATATTCTCTCAGATCCAATCTCCGATTACTTTTGGGTCTCTCTCTCTCTCTCTCTCTCTCTCTCTCTCTCTCTCTATCAACCAAACATGTCTGCGGCTTTGGATATGACGCTCGACGATATTATTAAGAACAACAAAAAGTCGGCCTCCACTAACACCAGGGGCCGAGGCCGAGCTTCGGGACCCGGACCTGCTCGCCGTCTCCCCAACCGTGCCGCTAATCGCCCCGCGCCTTACGCTGCCGCCAAGGTATTCGTTTCATCCTATTAGGTTTTCTGTTTCGAAGATCCTGGTTGTAGATTTCCTCTGTGCCCTAAATCGTCTCACCTTTATGTAGGCGCCGGAGACTGCGTGGCAGCACGATATGTATGCCGATCAGCCTGTTGCAGCGGCTTTTCAAGGTCAAGGTGGTCGTGCGTCTTCCATCGAAACAGGGACGAAGCTCTACATATCTAATTTGGATTATGGTGTTTCCAATGATGATATTAAGGTACGATCTCTATTGTGTTGATACTTGGCTACTCGCATGATTCATATTTGACCAAATTTATTTTGATTTAGCATTATTTAACTATCTAAGAAATTTGATTTTGATGGAAGGCTCTTTACCACCTTGTTTGGTGAAGTAGCATAATTTTTTTTTTTCATATATAAATACACAAAAGTGTGTGAAGTATGTATATCGGTTGTCAGTTTACGCACATCTACATGGGTTAAGTGCGTCAAGGTTTAATTATTAATTTTGACCTTATATTTGTCTGTATTTTTCCGTTTTGCCCCTTTATTTGTTTGTAATTTTGCCCTTGTCTTCTTCTTTAGTTAACTTTTGCCACAACACTGCTATGATATTTTCTGGTGGTATAGCAATCGGGGCCAAATCCATTAAATTTGCTTGCCTGTGGACTAAAACAATTGTTACAAATTGGGCCAACACAACTTGTGCGCACTAGTTAGAGACCAAAACAACAATAAAATACTAAATCAATTTAACATTACTCAGTATCTTATTTACTTGTTTGAATCATTCTTTGTTGTGGTGTCTGTAAAACTGAGTTGTTACATGGCATTTTCATGTGAGGTTGTTAATGTTGTGTTTTCTGTACTTGTAGGAGTTGTTTCTTGAAGTTGGTGACTTGAAACGGCATACTGTTCACTATGACAGGAGTGGAAGATCGAAGGTCTTACCCAGTTGACTTAACTTGCCTGATCAATGAATCTGTCCTGCTGTAGTTTATAAAAATTGCTTTTCATATAGGGTACGGCAGAAGTGGTCTTCTCGCGAAGAGCTGATGCAGTAGCTGCAGTGAAGAGGTACCACAATGTTCAGCTGGATGGGAAGCCAATGAAGGTAGAGATTGTGGGGACAAACATTGCGACACATGCTGCTGTGCCCACTGTGAATGGAACTTTTGGAAATTCTAGTGGACCTCCTAGAAGGTATTGACTTAATTAATGAGATTGTGCACATACTTGCGATGATCTGTATTTTTTTGTCTGAACACTGAAGGTTTTATGTATTTTATTTTATTTTATTCACTGTTATTTTTTTAATTATTTGATTATTACGCTTTGGTACGCATATATGCCTATATTTTGAGGTTTTGCTTTAATCATTCAGTTGTGTATTGTGATTTTGTAGCAAACAATTCTTAATACTAAAAATTTGGAATTATTTTAAGGGATTTTCATTTTGTACATTAGTTTCACAAGAAATTTGCTATTTCAATTTTCAAACAAATTGATATCTTGTATTTAAGCTGATTGTTGTATCATTGATTTGACTTTTACACAGTGGACAAGGGAGAAGTGGACCACTAGGAAGGCTGCGTGGCACGGCTAGAGGGCGAGGCGGCAATCGAAGGGGCCGAGGACGTGGTAGAGGTCGTGATGAAAAAGTATCTGCTGAAGATCTCGATGCTGAGTTGGAGAAGTATCATGCTGAGGCTATGCAATTGAACTGAAGGAATAGCTGATATTGTTTTATTGCTGTTACATTTGCCCTTTGCCCTTATCAAGGGCATGTCAATGGAACACCATCCAATTATGTATCTTTATCACAGTCATGCTTTTACGGAAAGGAAAAGGATAACCTAGAGTGAGAACTTTTACAGTTGATATATGTAGTTTGGGATTCTGTTATCAAATATTTATTTTCGTTGGGTATGGCTATGAAATGTGGCTGAAGAAACAGAAGTCAGCTTGTATTATTCACTCCAGCTCCTTTCAATTGGATTTAATCGTTTCTTTATTCAACAAGTGGGTATGGAAGTGGGAACCCTGATCTCTATGCATGAACACAACACAAAGAAAGCATTGGCTGCAATGTAGGAGGCTGCAGAATTCACCTCATTGTTGCTTTGTGCTTTGGTTAAAACTATTACAATGGAATGGAATCTTCAAGTAAGGTAGATTCACTGCCTTAATTCCCTCTCCTTCCCTCCTTCCCCAGAAAGAAAAGTAATCATTTAATCTCTTTTTTGTAGTGTTGTTTGTCCTCTGCAGTAGTTGTCTCATTTTATATAGGTTTTAGTTTGAATAAACTTCTTCCTAATTACTTATAGCAGAAAAAAATAGAACTAAGTTTATCCTATAAGCTAAAACTAACTATGTAGAATTTTTTTTACAGCAACTTATGTACAAGGTGAAAAACAACTTTTGAAAAAGCTAGAATATGAAAGTTTTTATTAATTATCTCTTATGTAATAGTTAATTTTAGCTTTTAGGCTTATTTGTTTACTTATTCTTCTATAACTTTTCCTGTAGAGAAGATCCTGGTAGAATCTTAATTTAATGTAATCTTAAGATTTTCTTATCTTTTGTTATAGGGGAGTAATTTTTCTCTCAACTATTTTGGTAATTTTGGCATAATAGCTAATGAGATGGAATCTATCATCTGTTCTTCACTGGTTGAGTGCACTGGTCAAGCTAAGAACATGTCAACAGATGAAGATCTTCATCTCCGGGATGAAAGGATGCTGAAGGAGTTAGTATTTTTTGTTATGTTCGTTCTCCTTGCATTCACCGGGATAAAAGGATGCTGAAGGAGTTAGTACTTTTTTTGTTGTGTTCATTCTGGTTGCATTCAGATTAAGTTGTCCCTGTTTTGAATTGTTTGCTTTTCTCCCAATTCTTTGATCAGCAATATTCGGAATTGGTTGAAGTGTTAATCGTTCTTATAATCAACGTTTTCTCTGAGTGGAACTGAGTTGTAACTAGAGAAGAGAAAATTGAGTCGAAGTGGTTTCTTTATTGGTGCTAATCTGAATAGTCTTTTCAGTTACAGTGCCATTATAGAACCAGATCCGTATACTACTTACCTTGGTGATGGGGAAGTATGTTATGTGGATATTTTCACTAGGACAACCCGATATGATAGCAAAAAAATACATCCAATTATAGATGTTTAGGCAAATATCTGATTTCAAATGTCTGTTTTAAGTTGATTTTGACTACAAAACTTCGACTGTGTTACGTTGTCAATTTTTTTGTAATTTGCGAAGTTTAACTGCCACGTTAATCCAAGATCGAGTTTTGTTATTTGTGTAACATTTCAGTATTATTTAACTATATTTTCATTGTATAATTTATGTGATCACAATTTTTTCTAAATACTGTGATACAACTGGTTGTCAGTTTTTGGATGGGTCCTCTGTATAATTACTTTAAAAGTATCTCTACGGAAATGAATTTGTGTCCTTTTCTAATACTCACAGTTATTTTTAACTGTGATCTCCTTTCTCTTTTAAAACCGAAGACATTATTTTGCGTGGTGGTGGTACATTCATTTTTCATTGTCGATTTTTTGCCCCGCAATATACATAGAGTATTTTGTTTTTTTGTTTCAATAAAAGAAGTCGCTTATTTGACCCATACGAGATTATAGTTTCCATTTCTAGCTCAACAAACACCGAACAAACTATAAACAGGAAATAAGGAACGAGTTAACTATTTTTAAATAGAAATTTTACGGAAAAGAGTATACCATATTACTTTAATAAATCCTATAAAATGTTAACGAATTAATAATTTTGGTAAAAATAATACATTCTTTCTAATTTTTTGAAGAAAACATATGTTTTCGACAATTCAGTACAACAAAATTATTCTAAGAACCTTATTACGCACAATTCATAATTTTCACATTCATTACATCACAATCCTTTATCACCTTTCAGATATGAACATAGAAAACGTAACTTTTGTTTGTATCATGTAACCAAACATGCTGATCATAAGATAAATAATACGGTAAATGAAGTCTCAAATAAGTTTATAATCAGTGTTTCTATTGTTGGTATTGGACATGACAAAGGGCACATCGGGTTTTTTTTGTCTCTTGATCTTGTCAGAATATAAAATTAAGTTTTCATTTTCATTATAATTGATTTTGAGTCTGTCTTTAATTTCATCTCATTTTATATTATTTTTAAAATATTATAATATACTATTATTAATGTTTTTTTATATAAATAGATTTTCATAATTTTTAAATTATTTTTTTAATTAAATATATATTTTAATTTATTATATTTATATTAAAATACATATATATATAAATATTTATTTTTTATATAGATATAATATGTGTTCTCATACACTTACGAGTTCTACATTACTTAAGAGTTAAGATCAATGATAGTTTATATATATAATTTTTTTTATTGAAACATTTTTTAAGAACAAAACCGTAATCGAGGAAAATAAAAAACAGACAATATCTTATACATGAAAATTGATATCTTTTAAGAATAAAATCATAATGGATGAAAACTCCAAATGAAATCTAACAATAAAATAATTACTAAAATCAATATACATATTTAGAGAAAGATAAAAAAGAAAAAAAACCTTATATTTGTTAAATTGATTAAAGATATTAGGAAAAAAATTAATTGAAGATATTAATAAAATTTGAATAAAAACAAATTGAAAGAAAGAGAATAAGGATTGACTAATTGAAGAAATTAAGAATGATAAAAAAGTGAAAAATGATAAGAAAAAAAGCATATGAAAAAAACACTTTAAAAAAATAATGTTTGAAATGCTAAATGTAAATATAAAATTGAAATTAGAATGGACATTGTATTATCAGTTCCGTTCTCCATTTGCTATCCTCTATCGCTAATTCAATTTTTTCTAGTTAAACTTAAACTAAAAATGGATGATATTTAATTGTCACGGTATCAAATTAATATATAAAATTATATTTGGAAACTAAATTATCATTAACTTTACGTTGAATATTAGGGAGTGGTAAGAATTTATTTTAAAAATTTTCATGTGAATTTTAGTTTCGTATATTTTAAATATTTTCAGGATTTTTTTTTCAGAAATCGTTTTAAAAAAATACTATATCCATAATGTTAAAAAAAATAAAATTGCAAGAATTTATTAGTATTTTCCCTGTATGAATGCATTATAAAAGTGACAAGAAAAAGACAAAACAGCACCTGATTGGTTGGTTTGAAACACACGGATTGCCATATAGAGAAGCGTGAACCATTGATTAAATCCAATCGAACCGTTCCCGTGAGAGAAAATCGAAAATCCTTGTAATGACAAGTTGAACGTGGAAAACTATATCTGTAACACCGTGTCAACGCATTTCCATCTCTCATCTCTCCAATTTCCTCCGCATCTCTTAACCCTTTCGCACTCCTCACTTCCTCTTTTATTCGAGTCACAGCTAATTTACAGGGTTCTGACATGGCCGCCGGAGGAAGAAAGGGTGGTGGGCCAAAGAAGAAGTCCGTGTCTAAGTCCGTCAAGGCCGGTCTCCAATTCCCCGTCGGAAGAATTGGGCGTTACTTGAAGAAAGGAAGGTACGCGCAACGTGTCGGAACCGGTGCTCCAGTTTACTTGGCTGCTGTTCTGGAATACCTAGCTGCTGAGGTAACTTACCATTATTGGTGATTGTTAATTGTGGCTAATTTTGTGTTATGGTGGTTGATTGTGTGAATTGGATTGTATAGGTGCTTGAATTGGCTGGAAATGCTGCTCGTGACAATAAGAAAAACAGGATTATTCCTAGACATCTGCTTTTGGCTGTGAGGAATGATGAAGAATTGGGGAAACTGCTTTCTGGAGTGACAATTGCTCAGGGTGGTGTGCTGCCTAACATTAACCCTATTTTGTTGCCTAAGAAGACTGAGAAGGCTTCCAAGGAGCCCAAATCTGCGTCCAAGGCCACCAAATCTCCATCCAAGGCCACTAAATCTCCCAAGAAGGCTTAAATTGTTTTAATTTAGTTAATACCAGTGTTTAGGGTGTAACAGGAAGGGAATTTGATGTTTGAAACACTGTAATTCTCGTCTCATTTTGTTGTTTGTTGGAGTTTTCTTCATTAATGGAAACCTCTTGTTCTCACCCAAATTTCTCCCTATGGTAACTGTTTATTTATTTTTGGTATGCTTTACCTTTTGGATACAGCGAAGTGAATTCCTAGGATTTGAAGTTGGCAAATAATTAAGATCATTACCAAGGGGCATTTAATGGGTTAATCTGATTCTTAATTCACTCTGTTCTTGATTTGACTTGGTTAAAGTCAGTGTCGGGCACAAGTTTGATTCTGTTTGTGTTGACGAATTTGCCATATAAGCGATGTGATTACTTTTCATTTTTGGCTTCCAAGAAATACACCATAGATCTGATTTGGTAACGTATTTTTTTTTTGTGGCTAATGGGTGGCACATATTTGGCAAAGCTGTGAGATTGAATTTTATTTCAATGCGGTGATAAATTTTGCAGTGAACTATACGTAAGTATCTTTGCAAGTTTTGTTTGTGTCTTATCTTAATGCGTCTTCGTACAAATAGATATATCTTAATGCAGTGAACTATACATTTTTAAGAAAACTGTAGGAGGTTTATGCAGTTGCAGGAAAATAAAAAAGAGAAGTCAGGTGTAGTGTTGAGAAGCTTTTTATGCTTTGAACAAGTTTTAGAGGGGACAATAAAATGACAAATTTGGTAGAATGAAAACGAGAAAAGCAGTGGAACCAAGTAAGGTTATAGTCGAGGCATAGTAATTACAAAAATATTGTATGACAATCCAAAATAACAGTACATAGTATCATGTAATGTTATTTTGGATTATCTATTGATTGAGGGTGGAGAAATCACTAGTCGGCACCCTGTATGTGAAGTATATAGAAAAACTCATTGGATTGTAATGGAACAGTGGGGCAACGTTCCCCATTTCCTACCATGACAGAGAAGGGTGAAGTAGGAATAGTATATAGTTGAAGGTGTATAACAATGTGAGGTTGAATAATGTTATGTTAGAACGGCAAATATCCACAAGTATGGTGACCGGTATGTTGTGCAGGAAAACTTAAAAAGTATGTGGAGATGGGTGGCCTGTAATAACTTGGGAAGATAGGTGAAAGTGGATTGGGTTATCTGGTTCAGTTATGATTGGAGTATCAGGAAACGGGGGTGAGTCATGAGTAGTGGAAGCATTTGGACCAAGAAAATATTTTTCATCATAGTGCACGATGTTCCTACAATTGGACTGAGGTATGTTTTTTTACAAGTAAAGGATGGTGAGTATTTGTGGGTGTGGTTGTTTGTGAAAACGAAGGCATGTTGAGGAAGCTTGAAAAGCTCTTCTTGATGACTAACGTAAGTGGAGGAGCCAAAATATAGTTCCAAAGCCTGCCAATATGTAAGGTATTGATTGTGGTACACTGTTCTTCTAATATATGTGTGACACTTATTTATTATCTTATAAAAAATGTTTCTGGTTAACCCATGACAGCTCATAATTTGATTATGTAGAGTCCTCCCGGTGATGTTTGTAGTGGGTCTTGTGTGGGTGAGTTGTGTTGTAGGCATGATATCATTGTCCTTCACTTAATTTTGGCACCCCGGGTCACCTTTCACTCTTATATCGTTATATAATATTCTTCAAAGGTTTTCAATTAGAAATGCCAACGTTCAGAAGAACAGAATCCTTCATGGTTCAGGCTCAAATTCATCACAGTAACACAATATCTGAATCATCTCGTGCACTCTCTTTTTTCCTTTAAACCCTTAAACAAGAAGATCAAATATGGGCTAATGGAATTACAAAGCGAACAACCAATGATGAACATTTAAGTAATAATTAGAAGACACTGGATGGTATATGGCACACATAGCAACACCAGATGCTACATAATACGTATACGTATTGTGATGAAAAATACGACTTACCAACCCATTAATGTTCTTCTAACCTTATTTACAATCTTATTTCTTACAGCAACACCTGTTAACTGAAACTCACAGTTCTCATCCAAGAGAAATCTGTACACCTCCCATTCACGCTCTGAAGTTGAATGCCTTCCTACTTCAGCCTATCACAAAACGGAACCAAGTTATTAGATTTTGATTTTTCCATAAGCTTAAAAATCAAGGAGTTTAAATGTTATGCACTGCGATATTCAAAAACTTACTTTGTCAACCAATAAAGAATCATACTATAATTGCTAATATGGTTATTGTAAAGAAAAGATCCTTATACTGGAACTGCCAAGAATGACCACCCCCACACTTTTTTTTAATATATAAGGGAAGGAACTATGAATCCATTTGTTTTAAAATTGTATAGAATTGATTTTGATAGAGTTTATCATAAACTTCTGAATGTAAATCACTAAATTGGGATGTGTATCCAAATTAATAACAGTTATAGATTTTTAGTGAAATTTGCATTTTTCATCGAAAGTATGAGAACTGTTTTCTCAATGCCAAAACAAACAGATATTACATATATGAAAGGAACTTAGCTACGTACACAAACCTATAGGCAGCAGTATTTATTTATCAATGCTTATTTTGAATTGCAGTCATATTTTATAGAAACAAAGATATTATATATTTGCTATCACATGTCTGAATTTTCTTACCGAGAAAACACAAATTCCTAGTGTTTTGAGAGCAAATGTGACATCATAAAAAACTCGAGGTCTTCCTTTTCCAGACAGCTCAACTGGATTAGCGACCAAAAGTTCAGTATCTGGTCCTCGGTTGGCAATGATTACTCGCAACGGATGAAGCATTTCCAGTTTTAAACGAGAGCATAGTGCACTCTGCTTCTCCAGATCCAAAATCTTTTTCCCATCTTTCTGCTGAATGAATATATCTAACTCACGATATCCCATGGAATTGGGTGAAAATCGGCCATATGAAATCTAAGAAAAAATTTCAAGTGTGAGCAAACTGCTAAAATGCTATCGTTGACAGCAGAAACATAAATTCAAGACATTTTCAATTTTCATACAAATAAGTTTTACCCATGATAAGATGAATGATTGGTGATATATGAAAGCCACTTTCAGAAGTTAGCACCATCCAAATACCTCAATCAAAATGATGTGTCCTAAAAGTAGCTAGTATTTTCACAAAACTGATTAAAAAGTTTGGAAATCAACCCACAAATTTTCAAAATCAGATGAATAATTGTGGTTTTTCTAGATTTAGTGCGGACTCACTAACAAAATTGAGATTTAAGACCATACTATTGTGATAAAATCTATCAGTTTTGTTCAGTCATTTTTTTCTTCCAGAAACCATCATTATGCTCTTTCCTTTTGTGGGTACTTTGTAAAGAGGGAAAATGAGCTTGATTGTTCAGTTGAATGAGCAGCATGCAAATTTTCAACTCAAATAAAGTTACCAACATAAATGACACATCTTACCCCATACTGACAGCTGCAACCTATCAAAACTATTCCAAATGGAGACATTATGTTCTTCAAGGATACTGTGCTATCAAGGTGAGAAGCTATCAAGGATACTGTGCTACAAATAATCTCGGTAGAGAAAATTATACCTTTATATTCATGTCTTTCAATGTTCTCATAATGTCATAAAGAAGACCCTTGTGATCAGCACATCGTATTTGAACTAGCGTGTGAGCCGGGCTTAAGGAATTGTCTAGTGTTACATTGGTTTTCTTCAACTTTGTCATATCAGGGCTAAGAGCTTGAGAACGAACTTCATTATCTGATAACTCACATCGAAATAACTCCTCAGCTAACACAGGAGACAGAGAAGAAATACCCTGATTATATTCATACTCTGGACCTGCCAATTGAAGTTCACAGCTGATACATGAGTCTCGCAGAACAGCATTCAATCTTTCACATGTCTCATCTTGTCGTTTTCTCGTGTGTAAAAGTTCCCTTAAAGAAAATTGAACAAAATTCTTATTACTTATAAGCAACAGTATTCACTCGAAATATAATTGGCAGTTGATAAGCTGCATAAAGATGTTAGACAGAATCAAAATATTGCTAATAACTTGATCAGCCATATAAGAAGAACCTTAATACAGTATAATTTTTTAGAGTTTCAAGATTTAGTATGTCTTACTAAGGTCCTTCTATAATTTTTTCTTAAGTGTAATTTTTAGAAAAACAACATAATAGAGAGAGGAAACTGTCGTAAAAGATAAAATTAGTTGATACATACATTAATTTGTATAATTTTTCTTGTATAACTTTTTGTAAAATCAGATTTTGAACTTATCAACAATGGAGAAGTTTACTCACAAAATATTGTTTTATTTTATTTTCTTTCCTACATATACTTATGGAAAAGGTTAACCAAACAAATTCTTACACAATTCCTGATAAGCATAACAGTCCAGAAGAACAATAGCACTGTCATCAAGAACGAGAAGTACAATGCTTTTTTTTTCCTCTCTCTGTGCTCTCTCCCCCTGCCTCTAAATTGTTCGGGAGTTATTTTTTTTTTCTGTACTTTCCTTTTTCAGAAACAAATCCTGTTTGAAATATAACGGGACACTAAATGTAAGATCTCTCTTTTGACATTTGAACTGTGGTTTGTCATATAATGTAGTATTAGCTCTTCCATTATAGATCTTTCCATTATTGAATTAGAGACACTAAAATCATGAAATATTTCGACATGTATGTCAATAGAGCTTGAGATTCAATCAGGATTATAAACATATTCCACCGAGGCATTAGAAAAACTTCACATTCTTCATTTTACGAATCAAATTCATCACTCACACTCACTTGTTATCTGTTACGAAAAAGAGGTCCAACACTCTACCATCCGGGGTTGTGGTCACTTTCACCTTTTGAATGGTAAGTTCAAGCTCCGAGAGCACTTTTGTTACATCTATAACAGTATATAAACAACAACGAAAAAAAATAAGACAATCAGAACAAACATACATAGTACAAGAAACATCATTTCAAGCGACAGTATTTCCATTACCGTGCAACAATCCCTTTCGATCAAGGCAACAGAACTTCAACAGATAGACAGGAGAAGATCTGGAAGGGTGCTGGATGAAATAAAAGGAGGCTAAACAAGACGGGCAAATTCCCTGAAGTCGTTCTTTGAGAATCTGATAAGAAGAATCCATAGGAAGCAACACGGAGTGTGGAATAACCCAAAACACAATGTAACACCACACGCCATCGGTTGAAACATCTGAAGGAATCATTCAGAAGAGGTTCATTGAAGGCATTAAAAATAGAATGGAGAATTGAATGGGATTAAGAAAGTGTTTGTTTGAGACTGAAACCTCCTTTGGAAATGCAGAGACCGAAATCCAGAATGATACCGCAGACATCGCAAGCGAGGCCGGTCTTGTCGGGGCAATTGACGGTGATGACGAAAGGGTCGCCGGGCTTGTTGGGTTGCTGGATTTGAACGACGTCGTCATCGCCGGCGGACACTCCCATCATAGGAGCAATTAGCCAACCGCTGTACAGTTGGCAGGTCAAACGAAACGATGGTTGGTTTTGGTTTAGGTTAAAGTTAAGGTTTTGATGCAGGAAGTTGAAGACATAATGTATGTACCTATGATGTTTTTGTAGTTTGATGGTTACTATAGTTGCAAGTTGCAAGGGGTGGTGATTGAAATAGTACACGTCAGCAATCGCGAAAGCACTGTCATGACGTGGCGGGATATTCGTTGTTACAGTTAACTTTTTCTTTTCTGAGGCTATAATTTCATGTAGCTTCATCTAATTTGTTTCCATCTTTGGTACCAATTTTCTTATCACGCTGTGCTCATGAAAAACAAATAGATAAATAAAAAATGCATCTAAGTTTTGTACAAGTTTAAATATCTTATATTACATGATTTTTTATACTATTAATTAATAAAAAATCATCTTATATATGATTTTTACAGTAATTATTATAAAATTCAATAATTTTAAAATACATAACAATACGTAACTGAGTAAAAAATAAAAAATATTGGATAAAAGCATGAAAATTGGAAAATATAATTAAGCAATAATATAAAAAATATTTATAATAATAAGTTTATTTTAGATATATTCAAATGAACAATATACTTAATTTATGTTTTAGGGGTCTCAAAAACACATTTCAATTTTTAACTGATCAATTATTAATCAATTTATAAATTAGTTTTTGAGAAATTTTAAATAGATATGAGTGCTGCTACTTTATATTAATTAACACAGTCTTGAACAAGTTTTTTTTTTGTTTTTTTAATCATGACACTCCTACGATTTTTCTTACTGTTCTAATATGATAAAGTTCCAGATTAGTTCCTTTCAGCACCAGACAAGATAATATGATAAAGTTCTGAACAGAATTTTGTTACAAACAAAATCGTTCTCCAATGCACGAATTATACAATATAAAATGAAATTCGACATCATACACTTGTGTTGTTTGTAGACCTTGCATCGGAGTAAATGGCATGACTCCAGACTATGCAATTAACATCCTCAAGCTCAGTTCTCAAAGACAGTTTTTAGAAAAAAAAGTTGAAAATATAACCAGAATACAGGAAAAAAGCTCAATTCAATTGTCTTTTAACCGGCAAAATTTGAAGTGACATTTTGTGGTCTTTTGCCAGATGAAAATAAGATAGTGATAGCTAGCTATAGACGCCAAATTTCAGGCACTCCAACATTCTCAGTATTATAATAACTATAATGATGAAAGTTTTGAAAACATCCAGACTCATGTCATTTATTATTTCTACTTTGACATGCCACCAAAGGAGAAATCAAGTTAATTCTTTTTGCCAACTCCAAGCCTCAGACGGAAATTCTCTTCCATTAGAGGAAGACCATCCCTCAACTTCACCTTTGGCTCCCATCCCAACAATTCTTTTGCTTTGGTTATGTCTGGTTTTCTTTGTCGCGGATCATCAGGAGTGTTCTCCACCATCTTGATCTCAACACTTGGATTAATAAGCTGCAAACCACCCACAAAGCATTAGATGAAAACTTCTAGCAAATATTTTCATCCGCACACGCACATAAATTTTGATGATGATGCATCCCTATGGTACGGTGGACATGCTGTACGACTTCAGAAAAATAGCTCAATGGATTCATTGGATGGGTAACCAAGAATTCCAAGTCACATTTTACCACTCACAGCTTGAACTTGATGAAAGCAATCGTGTAAATCAAAAAGGAGAAGGAGAAGTGAATGCTACTGATAAAGAAAAAAAAAAGGCTTAAAACTGACCTCTTTCACAGTCTCAGCAAGTTCAATCATTGTAAATTCACCTGAAATGTAAATATACTCAGATAAGTAATTGAGGGCGCAGAAAGTTAGATACTTTCCAAACTAAGGAAGTAACGACACTCAAATACAGGCCTAGCAGTAGAAACTAACCAGGGTTTCCAAGGTTGATTGGCCCAGTGCTGGGTCCTTCCATGAGGCGGATAAGCCCATCAACCTGGGACATCTCATAAAATCATAATCACATTCAGGTAGTAATTCAAAGATTACGGGATATATACCAGGTCAGAGACGTAGCAGAAACTTCGAGTTTGTGTTCCTGGACATTGGACTGTCAAGGGTTCTCCCCTATAATAAACCAGTTGATTGTGTGAGAATTGAATCAAAATACTCACGGAAATCAAAGTATTAAAAACTAAATATAATTAAATTAATAATTGACCGAGAGTAGAAACCAAACATGATCATCGAACAAATCATACACTGGTTAAACCATCAGAATATATCAAACAAACCATGCGGAAGTAACAACATTATAGCATGAATTTAAACCAAAAAAAGTCAAGTAATTACCGAAGTGCCTGAGCAATGAAGTTGCTAACAACACGCCCATCATCGATATTCATGCGTGGTCCATATGTGTTAAAGATTCTTGCAATGCGTATTTCTATGTTGGAAAGATAAAAACACCTTTAAAAAAAAAAGGAAAAGCTCTACTGGATATGCCTTAGACAAAATGAGAAGCAATTATAAGGTGAAGAAGACTGGAAATTACCAATCCCATGCTGCCTATGGTAATCAAACATCAAAGTCTCAGCCACCCGTTTCCCCTCATCATAACAACTACGAACTCCTGATATTATCACATATTGAAGTCCTCAGACTACAGCTGTATGAATATGTATAAAAGAATACACACACACACACACACACACATATATATAATATTTATTTATTTATTAATTTAGGGTTTATATCATCAGCAGAAATAGTTCCATTTAAGAAGCTCTTTTGTGCAAGATGAGAATTGAAAAAGGAACCTACCAATAGGGTTAACATTGCCCCAATAGCTTTCAGGTTGGGGATGCACAAGAGGATCTCCATATACCTCTGAAGTTGATGTAAGCAAAATCCTGTCAGTAAAATTCAAACTAATTAGGACCAACTAATGGCAGCATTTGAGATTATCATTAAAAAAAAAAAAATCCCACCTTGCTCCTACTCGTTTTGCAAGCCCAAGCATATTCAGTGTTCCTATCACATTAGTCTTTATAGTCTGTCAAGTAATTATTCCCTTAAATTTAGTATGAATGTGAAGTACAAGGCAAGTCGTTAGAAAGACAAGCAGACTCTCATAACTATACCTTCACTGGATTGTATTTGTAGAAAATAGGAGAGGCAGGGCATGCAAGATGGTAGATCTGATCAACCTCAATCAACAAAGGCTCCGTAACATCTACAAAGGTATCAAATTGATAGTGAGAGCATCAACATCATTGGTTTACAGAAAATATTTAGTAATGTTGAACATAGTATATTATGTACACAATACAGAATCCCCATTTGATAGCGACCAAACCCATCCAACTTGACCCAAAAGGATTATAAGACCACCCAACAAATTGCAGTACTATGTTTGAAGTCAATATAGAAAATAGTTATATTAGAAAATGGTTATAGCTGCCAAGTAGTGCGTATTTCATTTACTTTATTCTTTTTGTTACATTTCTGTTACTCGATTGAGGTGCTGGGTAGCCAATGATTGGCACATGCTTTTGCTTATATATATTTCCTGGATGAATGAAAGAAGGCATAGAATTATGATTTCATTCTTATTTTGTAGCCTTTTAGTTAGATATAACCAGTTGAGAGAATAATATCCTATTAGCATAAGTTCATTACTGTTCCCTTACAACAGAATGAGATGGCTAATCTCACTATTTTTTATTTAATAAACAGTTTAATTGACTACTTTAATTCATGGGGTAAAAATTGTGAAGCTTACGACTGATTGCATGCCTTAAGTTAACAGAAACCGTTCACAAGCTAGATCTAAAAGCTCAAATATATCAGTTTAATGAGCAAAAGATAAATCAATAAAAATCTCCAGTTTATCTTACATGTGACAATTTCATTATAGTTGATAGTAAATAAAGATGATACTATACCATGACGGATAAGCTCAAATCTCGGATGGCCAATCCATTTTTGAAGGTTGTCCTTGGATCCAGTGAAGTAGTTGTCAGCAACAATGACCTGATTAAACACAAAGACATTGTGGAAGAACTTTATCAAATCAAACTTAATTGTAGATGCTGTATTGTCTTTATCAAATATAGGACGATAACAAGTTATGACATTTGTATAGAATCGGTTACATCATGAATTAACATTATAAGTATAACATTATGGGCAAAAAATTAATCAGCTGACCTCATTTTTTTCATTTTCCATCAATCTGTCAACTAGGTGAGATCCAATGAATCCAGCTCCTCCGGTGACCAAGATTCTCATGTTGGACTATTATCAAGAATGAAAGAAATACAAGTAAACATGGCATCAAGACAGGAAAAAAAGAGATTTATGCAAAATAGGTGATTCTAACAAAAAATCCATATTCACACACACCTAAAAATCTTTGACACACACATAATTCAGCACTACGCAAACGAATAGGAAAAGGGAAAATGACAGTTCAAAAAATCAGTATAGTAAGTATACAGCTGAATTTAAAACATTAAATTTCAACTTTATGTTGATCATCTCCCCTTGTATCTTATATAGAGGATTCACAGCATATAATAACATTGGGTTTGTGGTCAACATTTTGATAAGTGTATGTGGTTAAATTTTTATTATTATTATTATATAACCAAGTACATAAATCATTCTACATTGTCTTCTAGTGTTTGTGTTCTTTTGTTCACGTTAACCAAGATGTTTAGATTTACCTTTGTATAAAATAAATAATGCAGATAAAATGCCCATCCTCATAGTAACCATTTTCTAAATCTACTAAAATGTCATGAACATATATGTACTTTTACTAAAAAATGTTATTAAATAACTGAATGAACATGAAATTGGAATCAAGCAAGCAACGTCAATTATCTTGCATGGAAAATGGTAACCAAGCTTAAAGGATGCAAAGCTTCACCTGAAAAAACTTGGAAAAGCGCAGGGGAGATGGTGAAGGAGGTTTTTTGGTTGTTGTCTGCTGATGTCCATTACCATTAGAAGAATCCGTTGCCATTGTTTGGACCTCAGAAATTAATTCCTACACAAATTTTGAGGTGATCAATGTCTAGCACAGAACAGATAAACCAAATAGGAAATAAAATTCCCAAACCAGATCATGTGACTTCAAATCTATTTAATGAAAGGGTCAATTGGAGCCACAAAGAGCGCAAAGAGTGACAAATACCATTAAAAGCAACCAGAATAAGAAAGCAACAGAGCAAGTCAAGAACCTGATCTCAAGCTTCACAAAAACACCAACTCAAAACCCTAACCACTCTCGTCTTACCACTACTCCATGATCATAGACCCATTTATATAGGTAAATGACAACCAAGAAATGAAAAATTATTCCAGCAAACTCCTAAATTCAATTGGAAGGGAAATTAAAAAATAAAACTTTAAAAGCATATAATAGATAAAATTACCCCCCGAGAAACATAATTCGATTTGGAAAGCTTAAAAGTCACGGAAAGTTGAAGGACATAATGAAAGCTCCGGGGCAACTACAATAGTAATGGAAATCACACCAAACTATTATTCTGTAGTAAAGAGATTCAGAAATGAAAAACCAAGCCCGACACAACCAAACCAAACCAAACCCCACATTGAATTTTGCGTCTATGACTATAATTAGTTACCTAACTGAACAGATGGATCGAATGATAGGAATAATACAGCCAAATGTAAGTGCAATTCAATTGAATTTGAAGAATATCATATCATTTGTGTCTCTCTGTGAGTAATTATGGTATGCGACGAAATTGAATTTGGTGAAGTGCATGTGAATGAAATGGTCTGTGAGCAACACCATGTTTAAGGTTACTTACACAATGCGCACTGCCACGTGAGCTACTGAGTGAGATGATGTTCTCTAGGTTCCACGTTTCGTCGAACTCGAGGCTCCTCCGTCGGTTAGAATCAAATTAACGGATTTGCATATATAAATATTTTTCACTATTATTTAAAAATAACAAATGAAAATATTATTTTATTTAACAAAAAAATATTTTTAACAACTTTAGTTATTGACAAATAATGTGTTTATATATTATTAAATAAGATTTAAAAAAATATATTGAGAACAAATCTATTTTCGTTGGATCGGTTTAGAGTTTATTTTATTAGATTAAATATTCTAACCAATTTAATTAACCTGGTTAAATTTTAGATCTATAATATAAAAAAAATATATATAAAAAAAAACTTACACTTTTTATAATTTTAAACTTATTTTAATAAATGTTAAATATTTATATATTTATTTATTGTCAAATACTGCTTATTTAGTTATTTATCCTTCTAAAATTCAACCGAATTCTATTTTCTCGTAACAATACACATTAGTAATGTATTTTCTTTATTTCTTTATTAAAAATATTTAAAAAATTTAAAGTAAGAAAATAAGTATTAGAAGAATATTGAAAATTTCTCACTTATAAGAAAGAATCAAACAAAATTCACAAACACACTACAATGCTTCTGAAGGAAGAGATGTGATTGTCTTTATTACAGCCAAATCTAGCTTTTCTTGCAATTCACTTTTGCTTTATTTTTCTCTTAATTTTATTTATCATATTCATTGATTTCTCTCTATTACAGTACAATTTACATAACTTTTTATATTAATTAAAAGGTTAAAAATAGTTTGAGATGGTGAAAATTTCAGCATATTCAATTTCCAGTTACATTCGTCAAAAATGCTTCTTCAATTTCTATTGTCCCCCGCATGCATGCACACAAGCAGAACCCTAAAGCACTCAAACTCAGAACAACTTGGCTCTTCAATTCCTTATCACCTTCATCACCATTCAAGTTATCAGCAACAATTGTAGACCATTGGAGAAAACATCCAATTGTTTGTTCTATCCCATCTTCTCCTAAACCTGAAACCATGTTCCACTCACTTGACTTTCCTGCTTCAAGATCACAAGGGTTGTCATTCTTCTCAACAAATTTCATTCTAGAAATCTCCTCAAGATTTTTTATCCAAGAGCAAATCAACTCCTTGACATGTTCAAGTTCACCATCTAGCATCTTCACATCCTCTTTCTCATAAGCCCCACATCGTTGGAATTCTTGTTGGAGGAACTTCAGAGCATGTTCTCCAAACCACAAGAGATCCACCACTTTTGACAATGACCCCAAAACCTTATCATAACAAACACTGTCAAATGGTAGAAACCAAAAATTAGGTTCCACTTCTGCTTCCACAACAAATTTCTTGAGCTCGTTAACTTGCATTTTCAACCTCCTTTGCTTTTCTCCAAAATCGGTTTCACCAAGACTCAACGATTCAATGCACTCACCAAGTGTGGCCAAGCATTGAGAGAGTTCCATTTTCGCACAAGTGGAAGCTCTTTTGGGCCAGAATATAAGATCCACGAAAATAGAACATGAGAGCCCAATAAAGGTGTCAACGATTCGGGCCATAGCAAACTCACTTGGTGGGCCATAGTTTTTCCTACCAAGAATTAGAATGGCCCCAATAACTGCCGAAATGGCCCCAGCAGGCCCATACATTTGGCTTCGTTGAAGGGAGCTTGTGAAAATGAACCATGGAAAGAGAGACAAGAATCTTAGGGTCACTAAGCTCTCACATACTAAGCAGCCCAAAACGCCGTACACAGTTCCCAACACGGTCCCATGGGCTTTAACATTCGCTGCTCTAAATGTCGCCTCCCTCCCTGAAACATAGCTCACGGCCACCGAGAGCCCAGCCCAGATCCCGTTTTCTTTGCTATATACTAAGCCCATGAACACTGTGAGGCCCAAAGAGAGAGAGAATTTAATTGCTGGAATAAAATCTGTATTTCTCAATCTTGCTATCCAATTAGCCCACTTTTCTTTACCCTCAAGAGAGTTTTCATTTTTGCTATTATCTTGAGCACACGTTGGAGTTTGGGTCAATGGTGTTCTGTAGAGGAGTTTGGCGCAAAATAAGACGAAGAAAATGTGTAATTCTTGGTGAGTTCTTGGAAGGGTATGAAGGGATTGAAGAAAATGTGTTATATCTTTTGCATTGGATTCGGGAACAGTTAGTGAACCGCCACGTAAGCCCTGTTTAGCTTGTTTTAGGGTTAGGGTAACATGTTCCTCAAGGCTATTAAGAACATCTTTAAGGTCTTGGTTGAGAATGTTGATTGGGAATGCATCGGTGCATGTCAAAGCCAGCTCCATCCCTCTCAGATTGGTTTCTACCTCTTCAAGTCTCTCTTTTAGGCTCAAGCAATGTGGTCTGAAAATTTTCATTGGAAGCATCTCCCACTTCATGCCCTCCTTCACAAAAGGAAAAATAAAAAAACATTATTATTATCATAAACAACGTTGTGGATAATTTAATACATTGAATGCTTCGATGAAGTGAATTTCTGGGCTTACTTACTTGGTAGAGTGTGATCATAGAAAGGAGCTTGGTTCGTTTAGTTACCAAAGATTTGGTATGAGAGATTAATCCAATTGCAGTGGCTTTGTCCTCCTCGCATATTACTTTTATGAGAAGCTTCAATCTCTTCAAGATATTTTTTGTTAATAGCTTGGAGCTTTCATTCATCTGTGCTAATTACGAAACAAAATGCAGAGTGTAGAGTTATACAGGAACATAGTTCTTTCGCAGTGTAAAATATAACATTCATGAAGAAGCGATTTGATTACCTGGGAGCATGCAAGACGAGGGTATGGAAGAAGCAACGCCACAACGGAAGCAAGAACACCTAAGGTAGTGCTAGCTGCCAAGCCTAAAGGGTGCATCAGAGGATCAGTGTGAACGCCATTATCGTACGCCACCACGTACACCACCACTATCTGACCCAAAGCTAAGCGTTTAGCTATCAAATGCGCGGAGTGAGGCCAAGGAAGGACCACCACAAATGCGGCTACCGTCACCACCACGGCGGTGGCCACTTTGGAGAGACATCTTATTCCGAGAAGCCACAGGCTGAACATGGCGAGGACCACGGTGTGAAGGGTGACGTAGAACGCGAGACAGCTTTCGCGCAAGGCGTCTCCGAAGGTGGCGAGATTAACGATGATGAGAATAGCTGTGAGATATGAAAATGCAGGAAAAGGTACGAGGGTGGAGATGGACGATGGAGCAAAAAGAGTGACGCATCCCACTATGGTGCACGCCAGGGCTAAGCGGAACGCAGAGGAGAGGCACTCTCGCCATAAGGGTGGCATTGTTTTGAGCAGTGCCATGGCTTTCATCATTTCCTTCCTTTATCAATGCTTTTCTCCTTCTTCTCAGTGATAATAATGCTTTAGGAAGCATGTTTCGGCTTTTATAACGAGAAGAAGAAGATGGAGCACTGTTAAAGTGGTTTTCAAATTTCAGTTTAATGTAACATTTGCATATTTCCATTTTTTCAAACTTTATCTTCTAATCTCTGTGATTATAAACATTACATTACATTCTCTTTTTCTTGTTGTTATCACTTTAGAGGGTTAGAACTACAAAATTTATATGATCTTATAACAACTAAGAATATCACAATGATATTTGTATGAATAAAATGGATAGTTTTAAAATATAAAAACAACAATAGAAAATTTGTATAACTAGGACTTAAATGACTATAGTTCATTATTGAATTACACATCTCAAATCTAAACTTAAAGTTTCTTCATGATGCATGCATGTATCATTGTCTAATCAGAGGGGTTGATAACAACAATTAAAAAAAAAAAACATTAACAAATTTGATTCCGACAACTGAGCAGTTGCATATGCATGAACCATATATGTTGGTAGTTTTCTTATTACAATTAATGGAGAAAGATTTCACTTAAAAAATTTATCTTAACAAAGTAAAATTTAGCTCTATATATGGAGCATATTGTAGTAATTATTCTAATAATTATCCTATTAAAGTAATTATCCTGATGCATACGTATAACACAGTTTTGGGCTAAATATTTTTCAGACAGGCATGAGGACCTGAAAATAAAGCAAAAAAAGAACATTATTAGTATCAGCCGAAACGGTTAAAGAACATAAAGTGGAACCTGAAATTATAAATAATGTTGGGTCGATATTATTTGTTATAATCCCTTTTATCTTACTGAAAACGTTAAATTGCGTGAAAGATTACAGTACTAAAAGATTGGCCATATTAATAAAGAGGTCTGCAAAATTATTCCCTTCTCCATGATTTCAACTCTTAATTATTAATCAAGTTCCTTCACTATTCACCTTAAAAAGGAAGAAATAACAACAACAATAACGACCGATTACACTTGAATTCATAATAACTTGGGGCAAATTTATTAGGTTATTTTCAATAATGATTGCCCCTTTAATTTTAACATTATATGCAATTTTTTTATAGGTTATATAAACATTGATTTAATCATAGAAAAATAGTAATATAAAACCACCTAATAATTTTATCCTAAGTGATAAATTTCTCTTAACTTCTATAAATATTTATATTTTCTATTCAGATTAAATAAGGAGATAGTGAGACTCAACCTGATAGTTAAAATTTTGAACTATCCTATTTTGTAGTATAAGATCCACTGTATTTTAACATAGAAGATTTATTATTTGAGTATTTTTAAGTGTAAGATTTATTATATATCTAGATGTAATCAAATATTTTCATAAATAATATTCATTAAGTTAAATTTAATTAGTGTTAAAATATATTTAGTATGATGAATTGATTAGAAAAACTTGATAAATAAATCAAGTTAAATAAAAAATTTATGACCTAAATTAAATTATATATATTTTGATAATAAATCTTATTTCTATAGTTTTTAGTTAGGTTAGCTAGTAGGTTTATGAGTCAATCCGTTTTATTTAAAAAAAATAATAATATTATTTTATTAAAATATATATATATATATATATATATATATATATATATATTATGAATTAATTTAATAAAATATTAATTTATTTTAATAGTAAATATCACACTAAATTTCTAATAATAATTTATTTTAAAATCTAATGATTAAGAATAGTTATTATTTTAAATTAATAAATTACTAAAAAATAAAAATGATAATAAATAATAAATTTTTAATTCTTTCCCATACATTTTCTCATATATCTTAAATAAAAATTAATTTTATTAATAAAAGATAAATTTTATAAATATATTGTCATTTAAATATTTTGTAAATTAATTAATTTTGTATAAATTTATTAATATTGTATTAAAAAAATTCAGACAAAAATTAACTCGTTAACCCATGTACTAATACAGAGTCAAAAATTAACTCGTTAACCCATGTACTAATACAGAATCAGGCAGATAGGTTAAAATTTTTGTCTCAGGTCATCATTAAATTTTTATACTTTATTTGTCTAATAGGTTATCATTAAATTTTTATACTTTATCTATAACACTAGGTCAAATTGGATTAGATAATCCGTTTTAAAAACTCTATTTATGTTTAAGTTTCAATAAATCTTTATCCTTTTATTTTTTGTTGAACTAAGTATAATTTATTCATTTTCTACTTTTTAGATTACTATGCTTATACGTAGATGTCCTAATAGTATAAATATTAATTTTTAAAAGTTCTACTTCTTTCTTCTTGTTATCATATGTATTATTAGTTTTTTTCTTTTTTTATCTTTGTCTCTTAAAGCTTATTTAAATTAGGTGAGAGTATTTTAGCTATAGAGAAGGTTCCTTCCAAGAACTAATCAGCACACCATGAAAATATTATATCATATGCCCAAGATGAAACATGTGAGCATGGATTTTATTTTATTTTATTTAAAAGGGGGAAATTAAATAATATAAAAAAAACTTTCAAAATTATATAGTAAACTTTTCTACATTGAAACTGCTGACAAATTAAACTCACACTAATATATGCAGATCACATTTGATATGTATTAAGTTACATTGATAATAATGAATATTAAAAAATATAATAAGATAAAAAAAGTTACATGGCTACAAAAAAACACGATGATCGATGCTGGTGTCTTTTGTTCATGTTGGTTCAATTTTATCAGTTGGAGAAGCATTGAGCAGAGGCTGGGATACCCTATTTAGTGATATTCATGCCCCCTATATATACATAAAATGAACTTGTATGTGTTGTTAGTGGCATTGGGTTTAACGCTACCAAAACTGAGCCACACATATATTGTGTGCAGCAAAGAATCAACCATGAATGCACTATGCAAGTAAGAGTGGGATTTTCGTAGATTTCCACTCAATCTACATTATTTCCGTTTAAGTATTGCACTGAAACTTTCCCTTCAGGGCAAGGAAAGGGTCAAGTGTGGAACAATATATAGGGCAACTAGTCCTACAAGCTCGTAAAACCAGACATGGTGCCCCTTAACCATTATTATATATTAAGTCATTTCTTGAACGCGATAAAGTGAAAAGGAAACGTGCTTTTGCTGGCTGGAGTTTCAGTTTCTGGTTAATTTACATTTTTGCAACTTCTTACAAAAAGATGTAGATTGCACTGAAAAACAGTGAGAAGGAGAATAAAAATACCAGTAACCTTCTCTTTTGGCCACCCTCGTACCATGAATATGTTTACTTGGTATTGAAAGTTACAAATGAAATATAGTAAATGCAAGCATAGCTAATTGCTTCGTCACCATCCACAATGTGTCTACTAATGCTTTTGTGAGAATAGTTGCAGTACCAATTGTTAACCCTTTATCAGCTTATTGGTAGTTTGGTTTATTTGTATTTTGTAAAGAGACAACTCCACTAGTGATGATTTATATGATGAATATAGATGGATAAACATCATCTTCATATCTTAATGTGCATGCCAACCAATTGTACTAATCAATAAAATTCATGAGTGGAATATTCAACCAAATCAAAAGAACGAAAATTACATACAACATGTGTCTATCCATGCAAATGCAACCAACGCAAACATGATACAATAAATAGATATTATCTCTTGAAAAAAGCAAGTGGAAGAGAATGCACGTTTTTCACACTCTTCAATTATCTAAAGACTAAAAGAGTAGATGCTAAATTCAAATTTAGCAACTGAAATATTAGTTATATGATGTGATTAAGGTGAATTTTTATTATAGGTGGGTCAATGTGAGTGAGTATAGTGTAGCTAACTTTTACACCATCCACCATTCCTTTGAATCCTGCAATAAGCAAATGAATATATAGTTGTAGAGTTACTCATGCCGTGCATGAAGATTGATATGATTAATATATAGACATATTAACATCATCCTCATTTTCAGATCATGCCGCATTATTCTGATATAACCACAAAGCAAAGGAAAATAAAATACTGACAGATATATCTGTCTACTTGCAAATGCAACCAGAACATGCATGATATATATAGCAAGAAGAGATTATTCTGTTTTAAAGGACTAACCGTTAAAAAACAAAATAGAAGAGCAAGGACACATATTTTCCACAGGGTTCAGTTCGAGAGAGAAAGAGACATGAAATAAGTATGAATCAGTGTCTCTTTATCCTTTATAGTTTCTACTATAGTCTAAACAGTGCACCTGAAGAAAAAGTGTGGAGGACCCACGCACCATACTTTGTTGGGGTGGATGACGCTGCCAAAATATATTTAGGTCAAGAAAGGTTTAATTTCTTGAAAACTAGGATATGCTGCGCATCAATATAATCATATATGCATGTGTTAGTGGAATCCTGTGTAAGAAAGTACTGCACCTTTGTCTATATATTCGATATAGAATACATACAAGTAGTTCTCTCCAACTTCAGTGGCGTAAGTAGTACTTTTCAGAGTTCAATTTATTTTGCAGTGGCTTTTCAATTAACTCCTGGTCTTCTGGCTTTGCAATGTTCAAAGAATGAATGCTGTCTGCTGCAGCTGCTGGTGGTTCCTGAGAATCTGAAATCAGATAAATAGTGAGATCAAGCAACAAAATGGGACTAAACTTTATATTTAATTTTTTCATCTGGGTGTTTGTGAAAACAAATTCATCTAGAGCTTTTCACATTTACACTTTTCTTTCTTACATACCTTTAGGCATGAAAAAGTTTCACTGAATTGAGTTTAAATGTGGCATTGAGATGGAGAGGAAAAACATTTGAATAAAACCTAGTGGTATGCAGCCTGTTTCTGTAATTTGACCTCTCGAGGCACGTCTAATTCTAGAACATGGGAGTCAACAGAAGTGGTGAAGAAAATCTATGCTCATCATGTGTAACATTTTAAAAGTGATTCCAAATTCCTAATTGGAAATATCATTGATACTGATCTGATTATTTGTAACCTTAAATCCCTTTTACATAGTATAAATAAAGTATAAGCCACACTGTTCGGCTTTCCATATCATAGAAAATGCAATATTTGCGACATATTCTCATTCGTAACATCTATTAAATATTATGAATATTTGTGTTTTATATTACTGAATTAAAAGAAGAGAATTTTATAAGTTATTAATAATAAAAATTAATTTCATATATTAATAATTTAAAAAAAATATTAACTAAATTATTTATTTTTATTGATACTAAGAAAAATACATACGTCACTGTGTCTAATTTTTTTAAAATGATTACAACAATTGTTACTAAAATTTGATAGGTTTTTTAACATTCCACAAAACACAATTTTTATTAAGAAACTCATTTTTTTCACTAGAAATGTCCTAATATAAATTAAATTTTAAAAATATATTTTTAAATTTTTTATTTAAAATTTAAAAATATATTTTTAAATTTTTTATTTAAATTATTTTTTATTATTTTTTATATAAATATGATACTATTTAAAAAAAAAAAAAAAAAGAGAGAGGCTAAAATTAGTTCATTATTCTGTTGATCTAATGTAGAATTAGATTAAAAAAGTTATATCCATTTGAAAATCAGACTGAAATTGAATGTACAGTAACAACACCATGAAGTTAAAAGGAAAGATTTAGGCCATGTGTAAATAACTTGTAAATTCTTAGCCATAAACTCTTGGTAAATAACAACTTGTTTACAAATTTGAATACAAGCCTTCTCAACCAAGATTTTCTAAACAGTATTGTACGGGGTAAGGAATATAATAATTATAAGCAATCTTCGGGAGTAAGGTGGAATATTTGATGTGATTTTGTTTGTTGCAAGACAATTTATAAAAATTAAAAAGATAAACTATAGTGCAGGCGATAACTAGATTATTTTTTATCTGCAGAACCTGCAGTAGTATGCTGCTACTGTTTGAAATTGGATTATGCCGCCCACTAGAAAGATTTACTCGTCAAGGGATACAAACTAAATTTGGCATGGCTTGTATTATCAAGGCAGGTGACTATTACTGGAATCAAATACTACAGCACCAAGAGCTACAAAAGTCCAAAATATAAGAATACCAACGATAGCAGTTCTCAATAACTGGTCATATCGGCCATACAAGTGGCCTTCTAATTCATTGGAAGGATGCAATGTTGGAGGATCCTCGTTATCACTGTCACTGTCACCGGTGTCCTCCACCTTGTCTCTCCTGCTGGTCCCAGCTGCATAAGGTTGCAGCATATCCCGCTGGCCAATGTTAGAGCATTTCATGCAAGTGCAGCAGCCTCCAAGATATGAAGGCAGGTTGGGCAGAGAGTCAGAAAGAACTTTCTGATACATTTCCCGTACCATTTTCAACTTGTTTCTAGTTGCAGGTTTCAAATCCTGACTCAGATGAACGAATTAGTTTGTTAGAAAAGCGCATTTTATGTCATAGATCCATAGGTTTGGTCATTACTTACTATTATCTAGGTTGGTGCCCACTGATAAATTAAATTGCATTTAATCAAACAATTTGTTTGATACCCCGACATGTTTCATGCTCAACAAATCGATTCACCTTGTTGCCACTTTCTTAATCATTTTAACCTGAATAAGCTAAAAGGAGAACTTACCTGAATAAAAGTCTGGGCAATAACTTGAACACTGGCTGGCAGTTGTATGACAAACATGCAACCAAGACGATTGGGAAAGTGGTCTAGCAGAAGGGAAGAACAAGATCTCATTATTTGCATGGGAATTCTCACTGGAGATAGCCCTTCAAAATCCACCAACACTGTAATTTGAGGATTATTTGCATCAACCAAGTGCAAGACTCCATATTCTACCTGTGATACTGAAATAACTATCATCAAATGTCATAAAACTACAGATCACAAAGTAATACGTCAAGAAAGCAATACTGACTGAAGCTCCCTAGAGAGAGTAAGAAATGGTGAGCGACAAAATAATTGAGTCGAGTCACAAAAGCAAACATGTGGGGGAAATTGACAAGAAAAATCATCTTACTGACTGCCTGAGCAAATCGAGGTCTATCCTCGGATGTCAAAGTATTGTAGGCTGACCCAAGCCTAACAATTAGGCAAGGTCTGTGCTCCACATCACACCCATGCCAAAACACCATCTTTGTCCACATTTTCAGTTCTTCCTCAGAAAGAATTCTGTAAGTCTCTCTCCATCGTATGGTTTTCTTTATTGAGGTAAGGAAGCATGAAAAATCATTATTAGAAGCTGCATAAAATCTCCGAAGCTCGTCTTCGTTGATTCTGCATAAACAACTAGTAAATCATGGTCTGCTGCAACAGGAGAAATAAATAAATGTGCTAGCGACCTGACCCTGACTTTAGTACCTGCTTACGGATTCAAAAAGTTTTTAATATGAAATTGAGTTGAAATTTGTGAATAACTTATTAATATCGTGTTCTGATTTCTGCTAACAGAAAAAAGTCGTAAGTCTACACCATCAATATAAATCACAAAATCAAAATCCAGTAGCCTAGTTTGAAACAGAAATTTTGGTAGCGTGGCATCATGATATTCTTCTAGACTGGCACAATTTGTGAGCAACACATCAATTTTAGATTCTACATCATGAATGCACGGGAACCATAAAACACCTTTCGGGTAAACTAAGTCCTTGATTTTCAAGCTCTTGATTGAGTTGAGTCAACCACTTCTCAGGTTCTAAAATTTTAGGATTTGTCAAACACTGGCTGCAAAATAAAAGTGAAGAAGCTTGAACGTTGAGCAAAATAATCAAGATAGTAAAACCGCACAATTAATCTCAAGTTTCTCCTGAAGGAAAATCCATTAGCACTATATTCAGTAGATGGCGTTCATATACCTTATATTCAAATCAACCTGTAAAGGAGATAATCCAGAGTATACTACTGCATCTTCTGAATCAGAACTTAAATCAGACTTTCTATCACTACATTTTGATTTATCAGAAAGCAACATTGTAATTGACTGATCAGAAAACAACGTTGCAATTGAAAGGGCTAGCAACGGTTTTGATAGGACCTGACAGAAGAGAGATTTATTAGCTATTTTCTCTCGTGAATATAGTTAAACTTGGCATTTCTATAAAATATAAAGGACATAGCTCAAACATCAACGAGAAAAGTTTCCAATCAATTTGATCCTCAACCAAAATGATAAAAGAAAGCAGGGGAATTATAATAGTATTTTCATCAATATCTTCCTTTGCTTCTTCATTAAATAGTTCAAATGGAGATACATATGGGGCTTTCCGTTTTTACTCTCACCAATTTCTAAAATTTACAAAGATGTTCCCAGATAACACATTTTTCAGGTCAGTATGGTACATCTATCCTGTGGTACAGGGAAGAAAATTTGATATACTAGATTAGATCGATATAAAGAAAACATTCTTAAATTTTTCGATGGTCATATCGAGCTGACTGTGATTGAAAATGATTTATAAGAAACAGTGTGCTATCTCCAACAAAATTTTATTCAAATATATTTTTGATAAAAGTTTCACAAATTTAAATAACGAACCTGCATGTTGTCAACCAAACCCTTGAAGGGCGCCCACCTCTGAATCCATTTAAAAGGTGGATAACATAAAATTTGTAGTGCTTGAAGGCCTCGCCATAGACATGGACATTTGCTCTTGGAGAACCTCCTTATGATCTCTAAAGCAGCAACTTTAAGTAAAAACAACGTGGTACGACCCACAACACTACTTCCAAAGCGGCCACGCAGCAGCAAAATGAGCTGTCCATAATTTCTCTTAACAAAATTTTTAGGATGAAATTCAATTAGCAGATCTTTGTATGCTTTATTCTCAGTCATGACACTGCCTGGTTTATGGATCTTGCTCGGTCAGAATAATCCACCGTGTCTCCTATGTAAACTGACGGCAGTCAAGTTTATCTGGTACAGAAAATATCTTTCAAAAAAGAAGAATCAATATGAAATGAAATTGTCTTCTACTTAGTTAGGGAAATGTTTTTTTTTACCTACGCGACCCATATTTGCTAAATATTAAAATAGGATATTTATTTATATAATTACACATTATCTCCAAATTTTTTATGTCTTTAATATGTTATTATCTTGTATAATATCAGTCATTGTCTCTTGATTATTATTATCTTCTGGACCTTATATAAGAAGATTCAGTCAAGAAATAATTCTCATCCTATCACTCATTCTCTATATATACAACTATCTTGTTTAATAGTTGATTAGAGCATTAGATTGTCTTTTGTTTATGAGCCTATGATCTTTTGTAAGGTGATTGATTTCATCCAGCTCAGAGACACAACTCAGGAGCCAATTTCCACAATCAAATTTCACACTCTTTTGTTGATCTCCACATTCCAATAAGAAGATTTGGCACCTACCGTAAGATTGAAGATAGAGTTTCAGTTCTCCTACCCCTTAATCCTCGACTAGGGGGTTATATTCCGGTATACATTTTTAAGTCTCATATTACTTAGAAGTTAAGACCAAAAGAGTTTATATACACCCTCCTCTCTTAACCTATTGAGTCGTTTTTTAAAACCATGATGAATTAGAGTTTCAAAGTGCGGACAACATTTCAGACCTGAGAATAAATTCTAACGAAATTATTCTCACAGCCATGAAGCCAGCTAGAACACTCACGTAGAGGAAACATTCATCTTGAGGGTTTGCATTAGATTTGCTTATAAAAGTTGATATCTAGCAAATCCGCCTTAATGAGTAAATCTCAAACTTAAGGGTTAATTGGTTTTAGTGAATAATAATGCTTAGAATAATAACTCATTCCAACCAAGCACAACTAGTTCATGCAATGAACTCAGCAAGACCAAATAACAGCTCAAAGTAAACTCGTTCTGTCTTCCTTTCTGAAGAATTTTCCCAGAGAACTTGGGGCTTATGTACCTACTAAATGCATATTCACTAAATATTGAAAATAGAATATTTACTTATATAATTACACATTATCTTTAAATTTGTTATTTATCTTTAATATGTTACTATTTTGTGATTATTATGATTATCTTCAAAGCCTTACACAAGAGACTCAGTGCAAGAGTAACTCTCCTCCTATCACTCATTCTTTATACATACAACTCTATTGTCTAAGGAGATTACTTTTATCCGGCTGAGAGACATCCGGAGTCGAATCTCACACGCTTTTTCCGAACTCTACAGGCTGGTAAGAACAGATTTACTTCTATTTAGTCAGAGTACAGTATGTACAACAGGCATACCATCTTCAAAAGAGTTAATATTATTACCAACCACTTCATCATATTCATACGCAGTTCAAGAATCAAGAGTAAAGCAAACCATCCTATTATAATCGCAAGATACCAATGATGCCAATATCAAACAATATTAGAAAATTAAAATTCGGAGCTAAGCTATTATAAAACCAGCACTTCCCCCAAACAATTATCAAACATTTATAAAATTGAAGCGGTAAATTGACCTCTAGATAGGATTGGAAGTCGAGTGCATCCACGATTATGGATCAATCTTCGTTTAATCTATGGACGCCGAAAGTCAATGAACCGGCGAGAATTCGTTGAAACGGAGAGACCTTAGTGTCTCGGCCATGAATTGGACCTAAACCGTTTTTTTTATTTATGTAATTGTTTTTGCAAGTGGGGGTTGACATGGGCTTTTGGGCCTCATTGTCTCGTACTCCTTGCATCTATTTGAAAAATCCATTGCAAAATAAAATGAACCATAAATTATTTAAATTATCAAATTTTACTATTTCCTATAATTCAAAATATATGATATTTTCTTGAAATTTTTTTATTTATAAATATATATATATTTGTAAATTTTAAAATTATATTAATTATTTTTTAACTATTATATCTTTATATTTTAATTATTATATTTATTGTAAAAAAGATAATAAATTATAAAAAGAAGAAAAATATTAATGAAAAAATTATTAGATTTGATGAAAATAATAAAAATTGATGATTATTTTCTGGAAAATCCAAACTTAAAACATATATTTTAAAACAGGGAAGTATTATTTATTTTTAACGTTGAAGATGACACGTAATTTCATGAAATAAATTTAAAGGTGAAGTGAAATACAAATAGTTCATTCTCAAAAACATTTTACAAAAGCATGGTAATAAAATTAAATGAAATAAAATTATTCATGGTAACAAAATTATAAGATATAAATAAATTTTTGAGTTAAATAAATTAAAAAGTTATTTCAAGTAAAGAGCATTTAAATATAGTTAAGTAGAAGAGGTAGTATACCTTCAAATACATGGTAGCTACTATTATACAAAGTTCAAATAGAAAAGTCTTCAAGGTAACAACTAAAAACTAAAAAATATAAATTCAAATAATAAAATTATAAATAAAATGAATTAGAAGAGATGATGTAGCTTGAACAAATTTCTAATCGTTACCACTTATCTTGATTTGATTAATTTGTTCCATAACATGAAAAAATATTTATTAAATTTACGTGTTTGAGTTTGTACAAAATAATGTTAAAATATGGGAATAACATCTTCATGGTTTAATATGTGCAAAATAACGATTACACATTTGTGTTCGATATGATGAAAATAAAAGGTGTGTAATTTGATAGAAGAACTATAGAGGTAAGTAGGCAATGAGAAAATTGAGAATGCAAGAAACCCACAATCGTAATATCAAGCATAAGGCAAAACTTGGCAACTAATATGAAATTGGAACAATAAGGTCATGCAAATGAACAAACTAAATTTCTCATAAAACTAGTGACCAAGCACTTAGAATACAGTTTGTTTTTCCAAGACAAATTGGCAGTCTACTCGGATCAACAGTAAGATGTGAACCAATGCATACATTAGTTCACAAGAGCAGGATGAGAATCCAGCTGTAAATCACAACATTTCTTGCGACTTCCGCACGCAACGGCTAACTTTTTTCTTGAATTCATCTCTCCTGTCTCTCCACTCTTTCTGCAACACAAGATCATTAAAATTTTCATAACACATGGCTTTTTCATTAATCAGTAAAAGATCCTAGAAACAGCAATGTCGTATGGTCAATTCTCTACTCAAAGTACTCAGACAAATGATACACGCACACATAGTTTATATAGGAAAATTAATATTATTAAGGCATGCCCAAGTTAGTGAGAGGAAAACTCAACTTACAGAAGAAATAAGAACCCTGCCCCAAAGTAACAAAACTGGAGAAAAGAGTATTATACACACATCCATATAATAGCTTACTAAAGCCAAACCCTTACGCCATAGAACCCAGCAACATCAGACATGGATAATTCCAAAGCTAACAAAAATGTGATATATATTCCAAATGCTCTATTTTGGGTCAAACGGGACATATATCAAGGAAGTCAATCAGGTACTAGTTTTAACAAGTCAGACATAATGTCAGGATAATGAGTGTGGAACAGGGTAAGTCAGTGCCAAAGGACAAGAGACAGGGGCACACCCCTCATAAAAGCAAGTATCATGCCTAATTATGCTACTCCTGAAGACATCGTTAATTTATACTAAGCTACATTTTTCTGCAAAACATAGTTAATCCTTTACTAGGACAACAAGTAACTCAAACATCTCTGCTAAACTTTACAAAATGATGGATCAATTATAAGATTAATTTTTAGGTATATTTAAATATTCTTAGAGGAATTTCTTCATAATATCCATAAATGTGAGGTAGGAGGGTGGGGGGATATACGGTGCAGGTTTCACTATTTTCTTGTGGGACTGGTGCAGTTTCACCCTTAAAGTTGTGGGACCCGTAAGGTATTGAATGTGATCTTGAAAGATGGGACAGGGTCGGATTAAGCAAAAACCTACCATACTAGCAACATTGCCAAGCCTGGTGACACACTACTAAAAGAAGCACTCTCTTAGTTTTCTTTCATTCTGTGCTTCATAATTCTGATTATAAAAGTTCAAGGTTTTGCTTAAATCAGAGCAATTGAGTATGCCTACTTCCCTCATACCACATCCAAATTAAACCATCCAATCAATATTATTTTTCCACTGTATTCAATCACTTCATGTTTACTAAAAATAGAAATTGTCTCATTTTGTTATCCAATCAATATTAGGAGAAGTATTATACTAGGTTTGTTTGGTTTGCAACATCTCACTCTTCACACCCACTAGCTATCCGCTCAAGTACCTTCGACATAAGAATTTCTCCACATATCAAATACATAACCTTAAGAAAATCATGATGAAATAATTAAAATATTTGTCAGTTTAATTTTACTACTCTAGGATGCAAATAAGTACCATAAAGTAGACATGAGGGAAAAAATGCAGAAATGAAATAAAATCACAAAATGGTCAAACTTACCGCAGCTTCAACATTTGCAGGAGATTCATCATTAGGACTAGAGAGCATCGATATGATACTTAGTACTATACTTTCTACCTGCGATATAGAATCGATATTATTAATTCATAAGCAGGTTTTAAATAGATTTACAAGTACTGTGTCAAACCACTAGTGGTGGACAAGATGTGGCACACATGTTGCAAGAAAAACCAGAAAATTTATTAAAGGCAAACCAACCTTAAAATTTTTAACGCTCCAAATTAGCTGTAGAGATAAATATTTGTTACCATAAATGAACTATTTCTATTAGATAAATGGTATTGGAAAGCCTTGATTCGCACTTAGGTTTTTTCCTTTATGGCTTTTATTTCATAATCCATCACAAACTCATGAACCGTTCAGTCTTGAAGAAAGAGATAGCATTCCGAATTCAGAAAGTTCGAATTTAATACCTAGTAGTAGAGTAATATTTTACTTCTCATTGAAAGTGCATAGTATGAAGAGCTCTATCCTACAATCACAGAGGATCTACTCTAAGATTATGCTTATAAAGAGAACAGAGGAACCACCACAAGATGAAGCCCACAATATATAACTGAGAAGATAGTTTCTGCTACATACATACACATTATATCCGTGTTTTGGGTGTTTAGAATGCATGTTCCCGTCAAAATTTACGATGACCGACCCAGAAGCTAGAGAGTGGAATAAGAGTTGATGTGGATCATACAGCAGGTAGATGCGCAGCTAAACATGCTATACATCTTGCCAAATGCGCACACAGAGATAGCCTATATTTTTGGAGCTTGGGTATCAAACTAGACCACATATGCTAGGGCAACTAATGTTAAACTATACTAATGTACAACACCAATGACACTGAATTGCACTTATTATGATATACTATATGTCTATATTTATTTATGAAATGAAAAGATTGAAAGTTTATCTTGTATTTGTAAAGTATGTCCTGCAGCTCAAAAATATGATGGAATGACTTCAGATTTAGCACATCATGAATACAGACAAACTGCAGGAGGAATATTAGTCAAAAAGTGCATCATATGGTTTGTGGTGGGTCTTTACATATTTTAACTTGATTTTCAAACAAAAAGCATGAGAAAGGGATACTAAACAATAATAATCTCAAATTTCTAACACTAAATCAATTCACCCAGCAATTCAAAGCAGAGTCACCAATAGAATATAAGGCCTAGTTCTCATTATTTAAACAAATAAATTAATTAAATTTATGGCTTTTTGTTTATACATACTGTATGAACAGGCATCCAGCGCTCACTTGCAAGCTCGTAACCATTTGGATCATCACCAGGAGGATGAAGAATTGATATGCAAACTCGCCCATCAGGATAAACTGCAATTAGAACATCTTTCAATTTCATGCATTAATGAAAGCATGATAAAAAAAATGAGTCAAACTAACCATTTGGATGCCATATCTCAGAGGTGAATTTCACTGATGGCGGACTATTTGGGTAGTTCGGTGGAAAGCTCATAATGGCATTGAAAAATCCTCCCTCACTACACGAAATTCAAAAATTGACAAAACAAGAAAGCCAAGAAGTCAGTAAAACTAAAAACTCAAGTGCTATAAAAGACCATAGAAACAAAATGAAATAATAACACTAGTAAAGCCAATCATATTAGGGAAAGCAAAGTATTGACTTAAATAATTTCTTAAAACAAGTACAACCAAATGAACCAGCCAAGAACAAACCAAATCAGGAAAGTATCACCTCTTGCAGAAACCGCAACAAAAAAATATATATTACTTCATCAAGAGTCTCAACATCAACTATAATCTTGAGGATTAAAGTAAGCGAAAAGAAGGACGCATGCAAGACCCAACTTAATGGATTGGATTCGTCACGAATAAGGCAGAAAAAAAAAACTTCAAGAAAATTCTGACAAACAACCTCAGCCCCCAAAATAAGTATAATTAAAGAGGTGACTTTCAAGGGGAAACCCAAAACCCCAGAACGCATAAGCAAAGAAATCATCACTGAACAAGCAAAGGGAATCTAAAATTCGAAGAAAACAATTAGAAATCGCAAGAATTGGTGTGAAAGAAAAGGGTATTATTTACTAAACAGAGCTTACTAAAGAGTATCGGGAGGCCCAATTATAGTGACGCTCCATTCAAAAATGTTGGTTTCGTCGACCAAACCAGCAGAAAATCCATCGACAGGGTTTTTACAAAGATCTGCAAGCAAAAGACAGATCAATCAGAAGGCCGCGGAGAATTCACGCAAAGAAAACAAACAGCCAATAAAGAGAGGAATAAGAAGGGATTGAGTGGGAGAGAGCGCAGAAAAAGACACCTTTGAGCTGCTTCTGAAGGAGGAGGCTTGCTTGGGACGCCATCAAAAGGAAGAGCCAGGGAGAGAGAGAGAGAGAGAGAGAGAGAGAGAGAGAGAGAGAGAGAGAGAGTTGAAGGGATGGGTTGCGTTGTGAGATTGAGGAGAAAAAAAATAAGCAAAAGAAAGAGAGAGAAATATGAAAGGCGAAACAGAGTTGAATTGTATTTATAGTATGGTATTTGTGTAACGTAGATATGATAGATAGAAAGATTATATATTTATATATATAGTGAGAGAGACAAAAGAAAATAAAGGAGGAAGAGCAAATGATTCCAATTTCCAACCCAAACCAAAACCCATACACATAATGGAGGCACTTCTCTCTCTCTTCTGTCTTTGTGACTTACCTTCTTACTGCTCTGTTAAGGTCCTTTTTTCATTTTATGCTATATTCCTTCTCTTCTTTTTTTAATATAAATTATAAGAATGTTGGATAATAATACTATTATCTAAACTTCTTATTTTTCAACTGAGTTTTAAATTCTACAGAAATATACTTTTCAAAAACTTTAAAAGTAAAAAATATTAATAAAGTCTTCAAAAATTCTTTACAATTTAAACATCAGAATATATTGATAAATAATGCATTAAAAATAACTTTAAGTCGTGGATTATATATATATATATATATATATATATATATATAATCCATTTTTTTTAAAAAGAAAAATTAATAATATTATATCTAATTTCTAACATTATAAAATGTATAATGGGAGAATTTTTTTTTCAAGCTCGCTAAATTTAAAAAATTACATTTATATAGGTCAAAATGTATGTTAAAGTTAACAGATAAAAAACATAAATTAATAAGTCGAAAAATTATAAATTTTACTGTTACTGCAAATTTTTGCGAAGATAAAAACAAAATTTCTAAAAAATTTTACAATTTTATTATCAGCTTATTCTATTTGATTTACGTTTTTATGATTTTTGTATCTTAGTTGAATTAATATTTCAAGTAAATAAAATTTTTATAGTTATCAATCAACGTATTGTATACTGGGTTTTTTAATTTTATAATTTTTCCAATAAATCATTTTATATTGATTTCTTTTCCATTCTAGTTTTAAGAGTTTACAAGATTAGAATGATAATCATTTAGATTAGATAAATTAATTTTGTAATGTTTTTAATAATTCTCCTCCTATGTCTCAAAATTAAAATTTTAATATAATTAGGTAATAAGTTAATTTATAAATTTATGGTTAAAAATTGAAAGATTATAAATCGTTTATGAACTTAAAAGTAAAAAAATAAAATATTTAAAAACTAATAAATATAAAAATATTGAATAAATATTTTTATATAATATTTAAAAAAATTACATAATTATGTTTTATATTGTTATTATTTCAAATCATTATATAAAAGTTAATTAAATCAAATATTTTAAAATTATATTTAAAATAACTAGAAAAGTGAAACAAGATAGGATATAATTGGATCATTTTCAGCAAATCCAAAATCTTTATAAACGAAACTCATAATTAATTCTCACCCATGGGTTGAAAGGAACCCTTATACATAAATAAATTATATAAGAGTATCTCAAAGAGAATTTTTAACAAAAGTTGTTTACAAATAAAATTAAATATTTTACTATGTATCTTACAGTTGAGTTTTTTAAAACTTGGTTAAAGTTATTTATTCAAGCAACTTTTTTTCAGTTTTAAGTAATTTTTTCCACTTTTAAGGATTTCAGATGAGATTCACAATAAAATATTTATTTTTATTCCTAAACAACCTTTGGTAGCAATTTCCTTTAGAGATGGTCTAAGATAATAGGGAAAAGTTTTATTGTATTACTTAAATTATATATAAATTTTTGAAAAAAAAATTAATAAGAACAAATTCTTGATTAACAGAAATAGAATAACCGCTTAAAATAAAGAAACAAATTATATCGGAGAAAAAATACAAAATCATATTTATACAATCTTAAAAAAAAACTAGAAAAAAAATGATATAATAATAATGAGTTAATTGAAATAACAAAATATTATTATTTATTAAATATTAATATAATAAAATAAAATCATAAGTAGAGATGATAATGTAGACTAGGCTCCAAAGGTTAGCCCGTTGGTTCATTTTAAATTGGCAAGACAGGTTGATGATAGTATTAGTTAAAGATGACAAAATGAATTATTTAGCCCGCTAAAAATGAGGTAAAAAAGGCTAGCCCTCCAAAATTAGGATGAATTATAGACCCTAATCCATTTCGCCAAAGTATGCACTAATTGATCAACGAACTAATCATGTCAATAATATATATATATATATATATATATATATATATATATATATATATTTAAAAAATATATATCTTTAATTATATTAATACATTTAAATAGTTTATTTATTAATTAGTATTTTTATTAGATAAATAAAAAATATTATATTTATGTATTAAACTAAATAATTATAATTATTAATTTTTATAATTTAAATTATAATATTATGATATATTTGTTGCAGCTTGTTGAGAAAATTTTAAGATCCATGACTCCTAAATTTGATTATGTTGTGTGTTCCATTGAGGAATCTAAGGATACTGAGACATTGACTATTGATGAACTTCAAAGCAGTCTCCTCTTACATGAGCTCCGAATGTCATCTCATGTGGAAGACGAACAGGCCCTGCAAGTTTCCCATGCAGGTCACCAGGCAGCCCAGGGCCGAGGACATGGAGGGCGTGGAGGAAGTTTTGGACGACGCGGAAGAGGACGAGGCCGTGGGCGAGGTCGACAAAGTTTTGACAAATCCACAGTGGAATGCTACACGTGTCATCAACTTGGACATTTCAGTTGGGAATGTCCAACCCAACGAAGCGAAGCCAACTATGTTGAGAATGATGAAGAAATGTTGTTGATGGCTCACACAGAGACAATCAAGACAAATGAAGATACTGTGTGGTTCATTGATTCTGGATGCAGCAATCACATGTGTGGGAGGAAGGAATACTTCTCAGATCTTGATGAACATTACAAAGATACAGTCAAACTGGGAAATAACTCCAGTATGGCTGTCACGGGTAAAGGCAACGTTCGACTTCACATGCATGGCAACACCTATACAGTTACCAGTGTCTTCTTCGTGCCCGACTTAAGAAATAACCTACTCAGTCTCGGGCAATTACAAGAAAAGGGCCTCAACATCCTCTTCCAACACAACAAGTGCAAAGTGTATCATCCAGAAAATGGTTTACTCATGGAAACCCACATGTCTTCCAACAGAATGTTCCTACTACATGCCATTTCTTCCCCTACCAAAACCACTTGCTTCCATACAGCAGCAGAGGACACCATGCATCTTTGGCATTGTCGATATGGTCATTTAAGTTTCCGGGGTCTAAACACACTTTATCAGCAGAATATGGTATATGGTTTACCACTAATCAAGGCATCTACCAAACTATGCAAGACCTGTTTAATTGGGAAGCAGTCACGTGATTCATTTCCCAAAAGGAGTGCTTGGCGGGCTACACAGATTCTGCAGCTAATTCATGCAGATATTTGTGGACCAATTACACCTATCTCCAATAGCAAAAAGCGGTATTTGCTCACCTTCATTGACGACTTTAGTAGGAAAACTTGGATATACTTTTTGACCGAAAAGTCTGAAGCCTTTTTTGTATTCAAGAATTTTAAAATTCATGTTGAAAAAGAAGCTGAGTCTTGCATCAAAGGACTGCGCACTGATCGTGGGGGAGAATTTACCTCTCAAGACTTCACCAAATTCTGCTCTGACAATGATATTCGTAGACAACTGACAGCCGCATACACTCCACAGCAGAATGGGATCGCAGAACGCAAGAACCGGACTATTATGAACATGGTTCGAAGCATGCTATCAGAGAAGAAGATGCTTTTTGGGCTGAAGCTGCTGCATGGTCTGTGCATATCTTAAATCGTTGTCCCACTTTAGTAGTGAGAAATCAAACTCCCGAAGAGGCATGGAGTGGAGTCAAACCTTCAGTCAAGTACTTTCGCATCTTTGGCTGCATTTCACATGTTCATGTGCCAGATGCTACACGTACCAAGTTAGATGATAAAAGTCTCAGTTGTGTGTTGTTGGGAATCAGTGAAGTCTCAAAAGCTATAGCCTTTAGTACAATCTCCCCCTCAGCAATTGTCCTACAAGGCATCCCACTCTTGGATTGTGACTTGGCTCATCCGGCCTCCGCCACGGGACAATTGTGCAACCCGCAACAATCTCCCCCTCAACAATTGACCACAAGGAATCGAACTCGTGACCTTGGCTCTGATACCAATTGTTAGGATCGAGCGCTTACCACTAGGCCAAAAGCTATAGCCTTTAGTCAGAGCGCAACTCTTTTTACTTTAAGAGCCCAAGCGTCACGATTCAATTGTGACTCGACCCACTTGACCTTCGTCACAGGACAATTGATGTTACGTGCAACAATATTTACATATTTTAATAACATAATAAAAAAATATATAATATTTTTATTTTAATATATAAATTTATTTTTAAAATTAACCCGTGAGCTCGGTTCAGTCGTATCTCATCTTTAGTCCATTAGGTAGGTCAAAACAGGTTGGTAGACTAAAATCATCAAACCGTCCCATTTCTTAAACGGATCGGTCCCCGATATCAAATCTGTTTTGTCATCCCTAATTTTAGTTTGTCAATCTGTTTTGTCCAGCTCCACCTAACTTGCTAAATGTGAGATGGAGTAGATTAATCATTTAAATTGATTGTAAAAAATATTTATATATTAAAATAAAAACAAAAAGTTATAATTAAAATATGACATATTTCTATATTATATTAAATATATGCAAGTATATTATAATAGTATAATTGAAATTATAAATATTAATTAAGCATAAATTATTAATTATAATTATATATTTTAGTACATAAATATAATATTTTTTATTTATCTAATAAATATATTAATAAATAAATATTAAATTTTATTCATATAATCATAAGTCTATAATTTAAAAAAATAAAAAAAATATTACCAAATTG